GTTCATCAATGTGCAAGCAAATTATCCGAATCAGAAAATAAAAAAAAAATAAGAAGAAAATTTTCTTCACCCCGTAAGGGGACTTCGGCCAAGGAGCTTCTGCTGCTTTCGTTGCAGTTTTGTCGACTTCAATGCGGACAAAGCAACCGAACTGATTTGTCGCCTGACCGACTTTTAGGCCACCAAACACCTCCACTCCTCTCCCATTTCCCTCGACATTGCAGAAGAAACGCGGGACAGCCACTCTGGACAATAAGTTCTCAAAGTTGTCTGGGCGAAACTCGCTTGCCGATAACGACCTCTTGTATAGCTGTAAAAACGTCTCCCTGGCCTGGCCAATGTCAATTGCGTACCAGTCTACAACAATCCCTCCGTTTCACCTCTGAACTTTTATGCTCACGTATTTTGGTGGTGTGGTCGCCATGTTGGATCATTTATGGCAAAATTTGCATGTTTTGAGGCAATCTCTTTCCCATGGGTCTTTTCGCTTTAAGTAACGCGCATCTAACTGTGCGGAGTTTGGTTTTGAGGTTGGCTGGTTACCGCCTCAAGTGTCATAGCGTACCAAGCCACAAGAGGCCGGTAACTAGTAATGAATCCGGCATTCTGATTGGTCCGTCACTTTCTCGTTGCTTGTTCTATTTCCCTTGGTTACCTGATGGCAGCGCTTACGCTCGTGGCCGTTCAGGGGTTTCCTTTTACTTTTGAAAGTTGGGTGAATAAAAAACTGTTTCTTTTGTTATAAATTTTCACAGAAACAGCGAGGAATGTCAGAAACATCTCAAATGTGTAAATCTATGCAGGCAGTATGTTTGAGCATGGCTTTATTGTAGTATTATAGACATGTTTACGCAGAACGGAACTTGGAATGTTTTCAAATTACGTCACTCAGTCACGTGCCTTCCGGCCGGATAACCGGCCCAAATGGAACAATATGGCGATTACTAGTTACCTGCGTCCCGTTCTGTCGTCACCGTAAGTGCTGTCCCAGCACAAACCTGTGTCATATGACGCCTTACTAGCCGATTTTGGCTAAAATTCCCCTCCGTCGCCTCTTTACAACAGTGTTTATACGCGGAACTTGATATTGCTTTTTACAATTTGGGTTGCCTTTGAATCACACATTTTAGTGAAACATTGTTTATAGAGTGAAATATTATTGTCATACATAATTCAATCTTTGAAACAACAGAAACTAACACATACCGTAATAACGATAATCAAATTTGAGTTTGAAGTTTGAAAGTAGTTGCGTTATTTCCGGTTTCAACTAGTTCGAAAATAGCACGTCCTTGAGCGCAATAAAATCACGCGTAGAACTCCATCCGAACCAGACTCTAGTAGCGTAAACTTATTGCAATTTGGGCCCAGTTTGTTCTTACAAGTTTTCTAAGTTTCATTTATCATTATTTAGTAAATAGGTCTTTGAAACGATTTAATATATCCGTAAAATACGTGGCAATCGACGATTGACTTCGAAACGTTCGAAATTTTGAACAAACTCCCGGCACACTTTGCGCGATATGCGTCAGATCGGTGTAGAAGACGCCGAACTGCAGCGTCAATGACCTGCGTCCTACCTACCATTCGCAAAGGACGCCGGGAACCAGCGAAGTTTTGAGGTAGTCCAAAACGAGTTTTACGACAAGTCGGCGCTTTGCGACAATATGAGTCGGCAAGTTCCGGACAGAAAACCAATCTGTGGAGACTCGTCGGAGATTTTTTTTTTTTTTTTGAGAACAGGCGAAAACTAATGCGCGCGCGGATGTCATCCATAAAATTAAATTGGTGTAGCCTTACTTTGATTTACACTGATTATAATGCTTTCACAGGATATTGATTACCTGTTAACATTCTAGCATGGGGTCAAACATGGTTAACTTTTCATTCAATACAATACTGAATTGAAATACTGAGTACGGTACTATGGTTAGATTAAATTTAAAGTGCTTGTCACACGCAACGTAATATTACCGTATTGGTATAGTACAGGTGTGATGGTTCAAATACCAAAATGGCAACAGTAACAGAAAGACTTCCCTGGCGGCGATGATAACATACGAACACGGAACCAACAGATGAGGTTTCAACTGGTACTGGTATTATTATACTCTGCAAACATCAAGTACAATAACGCGGTAAAACTCCACTACTAACTAGATACTTAAACTCCAACACAATTCAACGAGATCTCCGATCTGATCTCAGTGCTGAACAACTCCCCTATATATACCCACACTGTCTATAAATAGACCATTACATCAGCATACATAATGAGTCTGGAACTCACTATAAATTTCTAGAATGTTCCATTACTTTCTATTGCCTTCTACAGTGTCCTATTACCTATTCAACCAACTTCTAAAAATTCCACCCAGACACAGTACGGTTCTAGAACATTCTCAGTCACACGGAAGTGGTAAACAAGTCGTATGCGACAGTGCTGTACAGGGATACACAGCAGCAGCTTATATTAGAAAGCTTTACAGGGAAGAGTATTGTGTTTTATACAGCATCTATCAGTGCGTCATGTTTCATTATGTTTGCGTACATTTCATGCAACAAGTAACAATACATGTAGGTCTGTTTACTTTAATACTTTTTCAGTATTTTACAGTACTATTATGTAACATATTCAAATGAAGATCTGAGTTTGTGTGAATTGTAGGAATTATTTGAGGATACCGTCTAGAATAAACTGAACATTTTCCCCCATTTCATGCAAATCATGACAATAAAAACAAGTCATTAAAAATGACACAGTCCCCGTTAAATTTTTGAAAGTTCTCTTTGTGCTCGTCATATTAAAGTGGAGGGGTTGTCGCGAGCGTGTCCTCAAGTGCAAAGTGGCCTATACAACAGACTGTTTATTTACATCAAAACATGTGTTCCGTGTACTAGTAATATGGCCAAAAATAATAAACAAATTGTCATGGACATGCATCTTAACATGTATAAAGTACATGTATGTGCAAAATTTGAATGAAAACTGACAGAGCACATCCAAGATACCACATAAAAAAACAAAAACAAAATGCCTGCCAGTCGACCATCTTTGATCCAATTGCGAAATAAACCATGGACATGTATCCTAACATGTATAATCTATATACCAAGTTTGATTGACAACTAACAAAGCATGTCCAAAATACAACATTTTCAAAAACAATATGGCTGCCAGTCGACCATTTTGAATCAAATCGCTAAACAACTGCATGTGCATATGTCCCAAATAAGGTACTAGGCACATGCAAAGAATGAACGGAATCGGTCCACAGGATTCTGAAATATGAATTTGGACAGACTGACGGACGGACGAATGGACACAAGGATGAACACACGGACGGACGGACGGACGGACAGACTCAGAAACTCACCAACGGTCTGGGACATGTATCCTAACATGTATGATCTATGTACTAAATTTGAAAGCATGTCCAAAATACAACATTTTCAAAAAACAAGATGGCTGCCAATCGAATCGAATCTCTAAACCACTGCATGTGCACATGTCCCACATAAAGTACTAGGCACATGCAAAGAATGAACGGAATCAGTCCAAGGGATTCTGAGATATGACTCCGGACAGACGCACGGTTGCACGGACGAACGGAGACCGAATTATAAGTCCCCGTTTTCTGACTTTGTGCGAACTGGGACTAATAATTTATATCACAGATTCAACACTCTAATAAAGCATTAGGAAAGACCTCACAGTGCAAATTTAATAAGAAGGCATTTGGTGGGACTAGAAAAAAAAAATACAGCTATGACGACACAATTTCTCATTCTTCTCATCTCAGTTATCATTAGTATTTTAATCTTAGTGCATTCAAGTGCAAGCTACCAGTATCATGTTATTTTCTCATTCTATCACAAATTAAGACTGTGTGATTTATATTCCCCAACACATCTAACCGATTTGCTATGCTTAACAAAATGTGACCACAATTGATCTTGGCATATTTGAAATATTGCTTTTAAACCAGCACAGTAAAATAATATGTTGGGTGTCAAGATATCTTATTCTTTAATATGTGTACCAAAATTAAACAAAAATCTATCCACAAGTTCAGCAGCTATCATTCCACAATCCTAAAAATGCTAGATATGCATTTTTATATGGGCACCAGTCAGTCATCTTGAATAAACTGCATATGCATATGAACTATGTTTAACATTTTCATCACCAGTTCCCTCTTTTTATCACAAATTCAGTAAATACTGGCAGTCCTGTTTATTGTCTGCACTTCCCTTCAGAAGATTGAGACAAAACTAAAAATTAAGATTCATTTTCAGAAATATACAAGAAGAATATAAGAAAAAGTGCAGACAAATTTGGGCGAGAAAGTCTGTTGGTGGAAAGGTTAAATGTTAGAATGTAAGGCAGTTCAGACATATATGAGATATTGGCTTATAGATGGTTGATTGAAGGTAAATCTATCATCAGTCTCAGTTTTCAAAAGCCGACAAAAAAGCAAAAGTTGTAACAACTTTTCATTTTTTACACAGACTTCAGTCATCACACTTATAGCCTACACACTACTTGTACATCATTTGGTGTATTACCCACCTGTTCAGGTTTTCCATGAATAGCAGTTATTTCCTCCACTTCTGGAGTCTTTGCTTCACCTTCTTTTTCACTCTCGACAAAGACCTTCTCTTTTTCTTGTGCATCCACTTTTTTAGCGGCGTCACCTTCTTCTGCTATATCAGGCAAAGCTGTAACTCCTTCTTGACTATTAAGGCTTTCATCAGTACTAACACTTCTTTCTATCGCCTGAAATACAAAATTACAAAATAGATAGAAACTCATTGAAGTAATCCATATTAAAAACTGAGCAAAGTGCAGTAAGCAGGATGTAAACTTTATTATCTGTGCATATGCATGTTGGATTTGTCTTTCATTTTCACTGACACTCAAAAAGTATACTCACTTTGTATTTAATCTGAGAAATAAAATGGGCATTCAAGATTAATTTAAATATCACTTTGTGAACATAAACGGTTACTGTTTATTTAACATTTTAACCAACAGTTCCATCTTTTCAAATCACAAATTCACAAAATAGTCATGTTTATAGTCTTGTTTATAGATTTGGAAAAAAAATAGCCAAAAACTGAAGATTGACTCAAATTTTGTCTGTTGGTTCCAAAATTAGGGTTCATTTCCAGAAGTACTGAAGAATAAAAAAAGTGCAGACAATTTTGTGCGAGAAAGTCTGGTGATGAAATAGTTAATAGACAATATACATGCAGTACAGGAGCAGTAGAGAGTCAATCCCTATGTTTGGTTTAACCCTTTGAGCACCGTTATCAACTATTGGCACAACATTAAATTGTACAGCCTGCATCACCTCACATGAAAAATTTATAAAAAATAATAAATCTTTTGATCAACAACTAAAAGCAATATCCGAAACTGTCTGCATGATCCAAATTTATGATGAAATTTAGTCACAAATTTACAAATTATTTGCACTGAATTTTGGCCAGAAAAAAAAATCTGGCATTATATCCATGTATATACTGGTAAGTCACTTACAGCAATACGCTCTTCTGGTAAATCTTCTTCTTCAACTTCCACCTCAGCTTTGGCTTCACTTATTAGGTCTATAAGTGGTTTCTTGTCATCAGTTCGAACTACAAACGGGTGCTATGAGTAAAATATAAGGTCTACATCAGGTTTGGATTCATGTTTCCTCTATTCATTCATTCTCATCAGATTAAATTTACATCATGGTTATATACATATTGTAATTTCAGGTCTATCACATAAATTATGTAAAGTCTCAAAAACATACGACAGAGCCCTTGTTGTGTATCCATGTTATTTACTCTTCTAAATCAGTTTAAAATTATTTCTCAGTACATGTACTACGGTATGTTCCAATCCTCTCATAGTTTTTTCCAACTGTAAAGGCAGATCTGAGGGACTTTGCCCAAATATTTGGCTATGATGTGTGTTTTGGATCAGTGTGGATAAGTGTCAGGTACCTGGGTGTATGAGGCTTGGTTATTAATTATTTCTTTTTTTTTGGATGTCTAGTGGCTGACATGCAGTAGATTAACATAGTATATATCCTGTTGTGTATTCAATGTTATTTACTTGCTTTACTTCCTATGTTAGTAGTTTGACTCAAGTCTTCCTATGTCTAGTTTTCATGTTTCAGACTTTCCATGTATAAATCAAATTACCAATGACTAAAAATCCACTGCAATAATTCAACCTCGGAATAAATTTGAATTTATCCTTCAACAATTTACCCTGCTTCTGAAATAATACTTTATTCATGGTCCACTTACTAGATAAGGTGATAACTCATTCACTCAACATACCTGCAGTAAGTCCTTGGCTGAGGGACGCGTCTCAACATTTTTGTCCAAACACATTTTAATAAAATTATTAAAATCTTTTGACCATCGTGATGGTGCTAGTAAAGTTGGTGGGCTAGTTTTTGGTATTTTAATCAAGACTCTCATGGGATGTAGATCATTGTATGGTGGTTCCATCTGTGCCATTTCTATACAAGTAATGCCAAGGGACCATATATCAGCTTTGTAATCGTATGGATCATCTTTTAAAGTCTCACAGAGAACAACTTCTGGTGCCATCCTACAAAGAGATGAAATGAATACAGTTCTGTATTTTTTCTGATGTAGACAATGATTTTGTCTGGTTGTACAGTGATTTATCATGTAGTTTCCCCACCAGTTCCTTCTTTTCATCACAAATTCACAAAATAGTCCCGTTTATAGTCTGCACTTTGCATCAGTAGATTAGGCCAAAAAATGCAAAATTTAAGTAACAAGTCATTGTCAATGACACGTCCCCGTTCCGTTCATATTTGAGTGACATATACATTCAAAGCAGATCATGACCGAAATGCACCTGTATATGTACAACA